TTCCTCTCAGGAAGGAATATTCTCAGTAAGGGAGTATCCAACTGCAACCTAAATTAGAAGCAGAGTTTATAGGCTGAAGAAAGCCTGCCCGTTTGTTGCTGTGTTCAGTAAATCAACCTGTACTGATACAATTTAAGCACAACTGAAAACGAATCACACAGTAATAACAACTACAGGAACAAAGCAACATATTCACAAGCAGAGTGTAACATTGGTCATACTGTTGAGAATATGCACAATCTGGCTCAAACTTTAGAAACAGCCTAGGCCACTTCTAAACCTGCCACTCTGCCCTATTACGAGAAACCTCATTGCCGTTCAGAAAAGCTGAAGGTGCTGTGATAGAGCCAAGGCTGCTTCTGAGATGTAGTAACTCATGCAGTGCTGCCACTCTGCTGGTGTCATTGGAATGCACTGCACCCCAAAAGCCCATTTGGTGAAAGCAATGAGTTTTCACAGCTGTAGAAACTCTGTAGCTTAGTAGTCACATACAGAGTCTTAACATCTTCAGCTAAGTTATTCAGGTAACAGGGCTGGCAAAGCCCTGCTTGAGATGTTGAGGCACTGGAGAGCCACTTTCAGTCATAGGAGAATGTACTGATTTTGATCAGGCTTGCAGAACCACAAATGCAGGGCAGAAATCTTGCCTTCCCCTTGTGATCATGTCGCCTTCCTTTGGCTTTCTTCTTCTCCTGACTGACCAACAATTGTGCAGTTTCTCAGTTTTTGTTCTAAAGGGTTCTAAACTTTCGTTCTAAAAGGCTGACATGCCTCTCATAAGGTTTTGTCACTGGCAGTGAGAGATTAAAATAGGCTGGGCTTTTTACCCCATGCCATTTGCTTTCAGCCTTATCCAATGCTGGCATGTGACCTCTCAGGTCTTTTCCGCAGTGAAATACAGCCCGAAGGCTGAAAGAACTTCAGCAGTCCTTGTCCAGGTTGGCCAGTTGCACCTCCGTCTGGTTCTTCCTGATGGCACTTTTCCAAGATGAAACTGATTCACTGAAAAAGCCCCCCCCCCCCGCATCTTAGCCGTAGAATATTGTGAGTGAGTGACTGCACTGGGGTCTGAAATGAGGCCTATTGCATGCAAGATGCAGTGAGGAGGGAAAGGAATCTGGGCTGGACACTACCGGGAGCTACTCCCAGTTCTGGCCCTCAGGTGAGTCGCAGCGCTTGAGGGGTTAGCCATGTTCTGCTGCAGCAAAGGCAGAGTCCGGTGGCATCGTGGCGTGTATGAGATGTGTGGTAGCCAAGGACTTTGTGGCTGGAATACACTCTAGTTCATGGAAGCTGATGCCACACTAAGTCTGTTGAATCCTTTAATGTGGTTCAAGGTTCTTTGTTCCTATTCTTTGCTGATTAGTTTATGTGTATGTGTATTAGTTTATCTGCATCTTTCCAAACAGAAATTTATCTAAATCATACGTATCATGTATACTCCTAAAAACACCCCTTAAAGTGCATTCATATGCATGTTTAGTCAGAAATAAAGGGTCTCTGTCCCCCCCGTAAGCCCCGGGTTTCTTTAAACTTGAACAGGATCACATTCTTAATGCACGAAGAAGCAGTTTGCACCACTCATTCTGTTTCTTGCGGAGGTCCTAATGCTCACCTGGGGTTAACCTGAGGACACCTGAGTTGTGAACAGTGCTTGATTGTGCAACCATGGACTGCTGCTTCCTTAGCACCTGCAGGAGGTGAGTGCCTGGCCATGGAGAGATGTCTCCATCACGTACCAGAGCCACTCTTTCCCCATTCGGCGTAGTTATGAAATGAGGCTTGACAGGCCTTCGTGGAATGCAAGTGCTGTTGCAGCCGCTGTCAAAAACTGGTTGCCCATATGTGGCCTGTGGCCTGTGAGGTGAGGGGCCCCTGCATTACACCACATCTCTGCTTAAGTGTTCTGTGATTAGGTACACAATGCTCCATAAGAAAGCCTCACATTGTATAAGAGGCACAGCGCATGGCAAAGGCAGGCTTCCTCTGGGATTCACGCATGTGAAGAAGCCTCTCTTGGGGAGGGAGCCGCAGCTCACACACCCTTTCTAGGAGTCCTTCTGTCTGCTCTTTAATGCATGTGGAGTCTAAAAAAAATGCAAGTTAATTGAGTCAGGATGCAGTAATTTGAAATCCAGAATATTGACAAGCTGCCTTTGGCTTCCCCTCACCCTCTGGGTCTGACTGAGAAAGGGCATTAAAATAGGCAGCATCCGGAAGCTGTGAAGGTGGTAGATAAGTCCCCACCGCCCAAGCCAAAAGGCCCAGGCCTGCCCCTACTCGTGTAGTTGGAAGCGTGCCTGATGCTGCCTGTGCCTCAGTCCACCCAGTGAGTAATGCAAATGGAAAGAAGCAGGGGAAACAGGGCAGTGGGAAGTCCTTACCTTGGTTTAGTCAGTTGCACATGCATCTTTTCTTGGCTGCCTTTCAGGGCAAGAACCCTCTCAGGGCAGCAAAAAACACTCCGACATCGTAAAAGCAGTGTGGTAGTAAACACAGCAACAAATATTTGAAAAAACAGTAAGCTAGCATAAAATAAAATACTGCTGCAATGCAGTCTGATGCAATGTGCTCAGGAGAAGGTCAAAATAAAAGAGTATAGTTTACAGGGCCTTCCTGAAAGTCTGCACTATTGGCCTTGGTGTAAATTGCATGCCTTTGAAAAACACAATTTGGGTTGTATAGTATTGAAAAGCACCACTCTGCCGTATCACGCCTCCTTTATATTCTGTTGCAGTTTGTGGGGCAGTCCTGCCTCACGGGGCTTCTGATGCACGAACAAAGCAGCAGCCCATTCTCTCTTGACCACCGCCCATGGCCAGTTTTTCAAACATGGCCCCAGAAATGTGGCTGCCTGGTAACGCTGATGGATCATGGGAAGCTGCTTTAGTCTCCAGGCTGAAGGAAGGAGCCTGTCCAGAGGTCAGACAGGCTGCTGTCCAGCAAGGTGCGCACAGGCCCAATGAGAGCCTGTCCCTCCTCTCCATTTCCCTCGCCAACAGGCAGCCGCTTAGCAAACTGAGCCAGTGACCTGTGTGCCCACATCTTGGAGTTCTGTTCGAGGCACACGCAGCTTTGAGGCAGTGAGCAGATTGGGTGGTTGGTTCTGTGGCCTGTAGGTTAAGGAGCACTTTTAGGGTGCTGGTTCTCCTATCTCCTCTCTACCCACACCCACAAAAAGGGAAGATACTGATCAAGAAACCTCATTTCATGCATCTTACACTAGCTGTTTCCACTGATGTAAGGTGTTTCTAGACTGGTAAGTACTACCAGTCAAAATACATCTTGCAGCTTGTCTTCCTTCTCCTTAGTGGATGATTTTCTGGTAAGAAAAAAAAGAATGACATGTTAGGAAAATATGGGAGAAGATGACAACCCTGGTACCTCTGTAAAATTCCATGGATGAGACAGCATGCACAGCAAAAGCTTCCAGGAAAGTCTTGGAATCTGGGAATCCCAGGATTTCAGAAAAGGGTTAACAAGCTGCATAAAAGAATGAAAAATCCAATCACATCTCTTCTGATATCTATGATGCCTGCATAGATTTAATCACAATAATTAGCCCTTATGAGAGTAATGTTGTCCCCAGAACTTAATACAAATTAATTTTGGAGGTTGGTGGTTTAGCTGTGTGGCTGGTAGGAGGTTTTTGTTTGTTTGCTTCTGAGTTGTCTTTTACAGTTTAACTCTCATTGCCCTCTGGGTGGTTAGGAACAGACCAAGATGGGTAAGCAGCAGTCAAAAACAACTTTGTAAAGTTGCTTGATGGCTCTCTGATGAGGTCACCCTGTTAGTTTCATATCAAGGCAGCAAAGTCTGGTTCATTCCTGTTTGGGAGAGGGACTTCTTTTGCTCTTCATTAAATCAACAAAGGAAGGCAAAGATCCAGCTAAGCACTGCTTGACATGTTACAATTAGTTCCATGCACACAACCCATAGGCAGATGATCCCTTGTGAGTAAAGGTGCGCCTGTCAATGAACACTTACAAATATGGGGTGTGGGGACATAGCATGAGAACATAAAGCCCTTCCTGGCTACATGGACCTCTTGGAGCTGCTGGTGCATTTCTTAGGGACGGATGCTGCTGACAAACTGAAAGTAGCTCAAGAAAAGCCTTACTGGATGCGACAAGCATGCCGCTCCTCCTTCACCACGCAAAATTAATGAGAATCAGCAATACAAATTAGTTCCCTACTGCACCCGAGAGACCTTGCATGGATGTGGCAGGCTTGTAGCTGGGCCTGGACAGGCTTTTACACATTTTGGGTGGAACTCAATATTTTGTGTTTCTCCGTTGATGGAATGTAGGTATATGGGGTATATACAGGGGGAGGATTGGTGGGAGAAGCTGCATTTTTTAAAATTTTCCACCAGTTCTCCTCTATTACCCTTTCCAGTGGCCATTTCGCCCGCCAACACACACACACACACACACACACACACACACACACACACACACACACACTGTGTTCACACAGCAGCCAATCAGTGGCTCATGGGTAGGCCATGAGAACACCCTCATTTTCATGACCCCCAGCAACTGGTGTTACATAGACCTGTTGACTCTATTACTGGAGGTGCTGTATAGTTGCCAGAACTAGTTGCCATTGGTAGCCGCACCCGCCATGAGTGTGTCCAGTCACCCAGGTGTTGGCCATCATTACATTTTGTAATATAAAATTCTGTAGTGTATGAAGAAAAATTTCATTGCATTTGTCCTGAATCTCACCTTATGTAGCTTCATGGGATGCACCCAGGTTCTAGTAAAATTTGCTTTCTGCACACCATGAATAACTTTGTACACCTCCTATCATGTTTCCCCTTACTCAACTTTTTCTCATTGTAGCATTTCCTCATGTGGGGGGTTGTTTCAGCCTCTGCATCATTTTGGCTGTTCTTTTCTTCACATTTTTCAGCTCTCCAGAGGAGATGCTCTCAAGACACCACAGACTGGGGTGTGAACAAAGGATACACAAATTCTTCTCTGTGTCTTTTACAGGCTGCAGCAGTGTTCTGAAAGCCTTCCTCCTGGTCACTGAATTGCTGCTTCTTTAGAAGATCTACTGAGTTGGAATTTTCTTGAAAACAATATTGGTTGTCTGTTCTAATGAAGGAGAGGTAAGAGTTGCGATTGGTTTCTTACTGCAATCGTAATCATGATGGCTTGCTCCTGTGAAATGCTATAATCTTCTGCCCTGAGCTAGAAAAGGTTGGGTCACTAAGGAAGCAACATGTTTGCAAAACTTACATAATTCTGGGAGATCTATAATCAAAACTCCCATTTCCTCGTCCCAACAGTAAAAGCAGCCACCCTTGCACCAAATCGATTTAAATCATGATTTAAATCACTAGTCAGTAAGACAAGATTTAAATCATGGGTTTGCATGCCTGCCTGCCTTACTCGTAGGTAGAGGAACTTCATTAAAATATTTCCAAACTGGGTCTCTTACGGCCTGCTGCCTTTATAGGTTTTCTCCTCCAGGGAAAGAATAATATGATAAACCTCAGGCTGTACACAAAAAGATCTAAAGTCATGTGTGCAGTATTCTGCTCAGAAGACTTCGCTTTCCTTTTTACTGCTTGCCCCTCCCTCCTCACACTTCGCTTCTTGTGCAGATCTATTCCACTCCCAACAACCTCATTCTAGTCATTGGATTTTTTGAAATGTAGCACTTAAGAGGTAAAGGGTTGATTCTGTGTACATAGAGTTGCAAAGGAACAATGGGATTAAGGTCTTGTTCTCAAGTCTGTATGTTTCTTTAGTAACATTTTTGCTGTGACAAAGAGGCATGTGATCTCTGCACACACACATTCACAGTTTTGAGAAATGTAAAACCAAGCATCTGTGATAATATCTTCTAGAGAGAAAAATTGCCCTGGAATCTTACAGAAAACTGGATATGGAATTCATTTACCAAAAAAATGTAAACATTGTATGAATATATAGCCTCATGTTACATAATTAAAAAGTAATCCTTATTTTATGGTGAATAACCTTTGTACTATAATATATCTGAAACAGAAAACTATCTTTACATAGATTTTTCCTCAAAAAGCATTTTATTTTTAAAAAAATCCAAATTAAATTAAAAATCCAATTTAAATAAAAAACAGATTTAAATTTTAAAAATCCATTTTTAACATTGGTTTTTATCCATGCTGCACCCCTGCCAAAATCAGATTGGGACTGCAGCAGTGGAGTGAGATTATTTATTTATTTATTAAATCATTTTTATGCCGCCCCATTCGCCGAGGCCTCGGGGCGGCTTACAACAATACAACAATACATTAGCAGTGTCTTCGTTTGCTTTCTTAATAAAAATGGGCTCATCTTCTAAACTCCCTTTGGTCTATCAAATCGAACAGGCTTTCTGCATGGGGCAAATAACAAAGTGGGGGTGCAATTCAGATTGGAGAAATGGGATTAACTCTTTCCTCACCCAGCAGGGCAGCGCTAATGCAATTTGCACAGCTGCTTTTTTATCTTTGGGAAGAAAAATGAGAACTTGCCCAGAGCTAAATCTGCTTTGAAACCCTTAAGATTCTTTGATTCCTAGAGCATATCAAAGAGAAATCCTAGTTGGGATGGCCTACAGGTTGCAAGATGAGACCAAAGTAGCAGGACCAAATTAATATAGAAGGGTTGTCTGAAAAATTTGTTGGCTAATGATAGTGAATGAACAGGGAGCTTATTTAAAGAGAAAATTAGAAAAACAGATGAACAAAAGCACCACCATTTTCTGTAACTATCTGAGGTTCCTTTATAAATTATTGCACATTATGGGCATTGGCTTCGTGCAGATTTAATAATGCCTAGTTTAGAGCATTGAACTCAATGGTATTTGAAGGGAACATGACTAATTTCAGACCCATTAGAGCCAATGGGTCCACTCAAAGGATGCCTAAATTGGGATCCAACTGAGCATCTCTGCTTGTTAGCTTCGTTTCTCCTCTCTTTTAAGCATTCCATACTTGCCTTATTTTTAACATGGCCCTTTTATATTAGTATGAGGAAGAAAAACTTGGGGGTTGGGGCAGAACAGAATTTCAAGGGAGTGTTTTGATAATAAGAGTGTTGATTAATACCTGTACTACAGTTTTAATAAACAGTTTTAAAAAAAAGTTGGGGCAAGTTGACTAGACAGGATATGGTTGTGGTTCCCCACTCAAATCATGATTATTAACGCACAAACTTGTAGTAAATCATAAAACAGTAGCATTGGAAGGCCATCAGGTCCAACCACCTGCTGTTGCAGGGCACCAAGTTACACCTTCCCACACAGATGGCTGGTCCAGTTTCTTTTTGAATGTGTCTAGTGTGGGAGAGCCCACAACCTTGCTAGGCAGCTGGTTCCACCGTTGTATGGCTCTGACAGTTTCATATTGTAGTTGTTTAAAGCATAGGCAGCAGTCTGTTGGGTCAGAACAATGCACATTTGGCCATATTCTTTCCAAAAGGCAGTCCATGCCCCCAGGAAACATACGAGCAGGAAGTTGAGAGTGGGCCTTTATTATTTGCCTCTCGCATCTGGTAATCACAAACATATTTCTTCTAGACATGTAATTGTCATTCAGCTATTGTGGCCAACTGCTGTTGATGAAACTGAACTCCATTCCTTTGTCCAATACAGTGGTACCTTGGCTCACAAACTTAATCTGTTCCAGGACTCTGGGCATGACCCAAAATGGTCATGAGCCAAGTTAAATTTCCCCATAAGATTCAGTGTAAATAAGGTTAATCCATTCTGTAAATACATACATACATATATATATATATATTTAATCAGAAAAATGTGAAGCAAAGTGACACAGAACAACAAAGATCGTGGCCATCTACCCCCCAACCTCCAGCACGAACGCTGCCATCTCCCTGCCCTCCCCAGCACGACTGCGATCGAGCCCTTCCACCCCTGCACGCGCCCATCATCCCAATGCACTGGGGGGGGGGGGGGACAGGTGTGAATGCGGGCATGCTGGGGAGGGGGGGGAGATGACCAAGATCGTGATTGCGCTCCTGCAGGAAAAAGGGGCACAATCACAGGTGCACTCATGCAGGAGACAGGTGTGATCGCAGCCATTCCCCCCCCCACCCCCAGCACGATCATGGCCATCTCCCCATTTGGGGGGGGGGGCAGGAGACGGCCGCGATCATGGTCACCACCCAATGCGGAGTTCATGACCCAACTTAAAATTTTTATGAAATTTTTGTTCACAACACAATTTGGTTGTGAACGAAAGTGTTCGTGAGCTGAGGTACCACTGTGCATCTTTCTAAAGATGTTTGAGTTAGGAGCTATTGCACATTGAACTTGGGCATTCCTTATTATTTATGCTTAGTGAAGAAATAGTTCCTTGGGTTTCTCTTACCTCCACTAATAAAATTGGATGCCCTTCAGTTAAGTGTTTCAATGATTTCATAAACAGTGATTATGAATACACTTTGTCACATCCCCATCCAGCCAAAGTTTCCTTTCATTAGAACTGCAAATAAAATATTAAATGTTCTAATAAGAGAGAGGGAGACCATTTCTCTATCCTGTTTTTCCACAGGATTCCTAATTCTGTAACCTTCATACTCCAGTTAAAATCAACATTCTCCCCTACAATACAAACAAGACTATCACTTTACCCTTTTCTCAGATGCGAATTACTTACCATGGATTGCATTAATTGCCATGTTTTGTAGGCGACTCCAGCAATAGAGGTTCAATCCAGTGGGTACTTTCTGCAAATGGAACAGTTCTGCTCACAGTAATGCCCATCTGGTTTCTCTCCCACCCTGCACGTTCAGCTGCTGTGCCATTTTTATGGTACTGGAGGGCTTCCTGGAAAGTGAGGGCTGGGAAAATTCTTTTCGTCAGCCTAGTTGCATTTGTCTAAATTTGGATCCAACCCTAGATGTATCAGAGATGGCATTGCCAAACTGCCCTGTTACTTGAATGCTTCATGAGTCTTTTGACTATGTACATTGTAAGAGGTGCATGAAAATTTAAATTCCCATGCAAATACAATATCTGGATACTCAAGTCCAATTCACAATGAATAAAGAACACAGTGAATAGTTGGAAGTTTTATTCATATAAAATTCATTATTAAGAACATAAAAGATTGCATCTTAAAAAAAAGATCTGCAGTTATTTACAGCAGTATTGCACAAGTAAAGTGGCAATTACCCTGTCAAATTTTCATCAGTGCAAAACACAAGTAAGCCAGGGAAACTGCATTAAAAATGCTACATATGCTGGGTTCTATCAAACACATTAGTGATTAATCAGTACAAGATCAGTGCTACAATGATGTTTGTACCTGATGTATTGCCATACAGTAACTAGTGGTCTTTAAACCAGGGTGCAAAATTTCACTCATCCTCTAAAAATTTAGTAGTTCTTGGGTAAACTGCAAGTACTTCTTGTTCATGAGGTAACAGCCATATCCTGTGCTATGTAAACTGAGGTCAAGGGATAAGGTCTTAACAGCCCTTAATGGAATCACAATTGAAGGAGAAAACAGGAAGCACCACCAAGGCTGTAAGAACTGGCATCTAATGAATTCTCTACATTTACCTACTCTCAAGACTGGGTGCTGGGGGAAGCCAAGTTCCCTGTGGACACACAATGAATGTGTGCACGTGAGTTCTCAGGACATATTTATCAGTTTTAAAGACTGACTAGCTCAGAGCACTGCACGTTGCTTTAGTAAAACTTCCTTACAAGCCACTTCAGTCCCCAGACCTACTTGGAACAAAGTACTAACAGATATGAGATGCTGGATCCTTGAGCATGTGCAATTCTTCCTCAATCACACATGTGAATCCCCATCTCTGCCTTCACTTCGTATTTGAAAACCTTAGCAAGAGAGGGCAGGTGGCAAGAGAGATGGTAGAAAACCACTGAGTTTTAAATGATACCTTAAATAGCATCAACTATCTGAAACTAGTAGACAGTGCTCTAAACTGATCAATCACTATTTCCATATATACGAAGTAAAACTCAAAAGGAAAAAAGACTTTACAAGAACTTAAATAAGCAGAAAATAAATATACATTTCTACAAGTTACAGCATTATGAAACAGTAGAGTGCATTAATTACAAAGAAAAGGGGATCTACAGTATTTAACAAGGTCAATTCTACAAAAAAATTAAAGAAATTTACTTCTGCTGTTATACAAAAAAATTTACATGACATAATAAGAAAAGAGGAAACATTGCACAGGTGACATTTGGCTCAGATGAGAAGAACAACTGCTCTAATCTAATAAATATGCAGTATTTACAGTCAAAGAAAGAAAGAGCAAGCACAGAAAGTCTGAGTAAATGCAGCTTCTCTAGGAAGAAATTTTAATCTGGTTTCTCCACAACCAAAGAAAATTCTTCACAAAAGGTTTTGGCAGGTTCATTTTTTTTCTACAAAACTTTAAAAAATCTCTCTAGTAGACAAGATGATTAGATACATTGACACAAAGATTTAAAAAACCCACAGGTCTGCTATGGACAAAGTGGGGCTGTCAAGGCACAAAACCTGCTTTGAACTATGAAAAACCAAATGGGTCCTGTTTGATTTAGCTTTTTTAGATAGATATGTATATATACAGATATAAATCATTTATATAATGTCTGGTAGAGATTTCTTGAAAAACAAGAGAGCTTGGGTTTGGGCCACACAGTGCCAATATTTTGCCATTTACCGTTTACATTATAATTCACAGAATTTTAAAAATATTAGGCTTACAATAGATTTGCTAAAGTCATGGCAGTAGGTAATTGCACTCCCATGCTAGCAGTTAACACATATGAATGTGTACACATCTCAAGGCACTGGGCCAGCCAAGCCTTATAAGGGGGAAGATTGGGTGGGGTCCAGAGGGCTGCACAGAAGCTGCTGCTCAAACACCTGGTCCCTTTCCCACAGCAGCTCCTTATTCCACTAAGCTCTCCCACCCTAAATAGCCACTGCCAAGGAGCACAGGCAAGTAATGAGCCTCCTGCTTCAGGTACAGGCCTTGAGCTCCTTGGATCCCAACCACAGAGAGGAATTAGAACTAGAATGCTCCAAATAAACAAGTGAGAGCAACAGGTTCTTTCTCTAAATAGAAAATGTGCTTTGGCGAGTTCTGAAGGATGAATTTTAGTTCCAAACAGGATTTTAGAAAGCAACATATTGGGACAGTGGCAATAATCATCATGAAGCAGTTTTGCTTCAAAGAGCCTTCTAATGATTCCCATTAAAAACACAATCAAATTGAATTATGGAATGTCTAAATTCCTATGGTGTATAGACAAGATTACTGGCAAACTCCCAACCAGGGCAAGTGGTCGTGGGGTTAAAAACTGTGTATCAACATTGTTAAAGCTTGAATAGAAAAGGCCATCTTTATGTTTCCCTGGCTTTTTTGGGGGAATGCTATAAAAATTCCTATTACACAGTATCATTTATCTTTTTCAGTACATCAGCCTTTTGTGGATAACACACAATTGTACAGGCCAAAATCCTGTCAGCAATACTGAAGTATTTGCTTGGGGATAAAGAAACAAGACAAATTAAAAATGCAAAGTTGTTGACCCAAGTCAGAAAAGGAGAAATTAATGAACCTACAAAGCTACCAAGGTCATACCATTGCTAGCCTTACAGTCATTTTTACCTCCAGAAGAACAGCCTGATCTAACAAGAGCCATGCATATGAAGAAATAGCCTTCCCCCATTTTCTGCCCATGCTTAATCTGGAACAGCAAGCACAGAGAGGATGCTTGCACCCAGGCTGGGAAAGGCCCTGGACCCAAAACTTAAGAAATGCACATGTAGTTCCCAATACTCTACTCAGAATTATGCGTGCAGTGCCAGTTTCTGCTGTCTGCTTGGACTGAGCCACTTGTCTGTTTGGAGGGAGCAAAGGACTGAATAGAACAGACTCATCTTTCCTCCTCTTTTATCTCAAAACTGTCAGTGTTTACCCTACCATTCACCTATCAGGCACCCAGGCAGTAATTCATGTGTATTCTTATCTTCTGGGCCTTGGTAGGAGGTTTACAGAGATATGCCTTTACTAAGTGAAAAACCTTTCCAGGTATTCCAAACAGACAGCAAAATCCAGCATGTACTGTACAATACGGAGACCGCAAATTTACAATTGACAAAACTCTGGATTATGTAATAGACTGTTGAACAGCTCGAACATAGCTCAAAGAGTGCAACTGTTTGAAAGCAGTCATGACATTTTCAGTGGTGCAGGTGAAACCAGAAATAGGTGGTGTAGCATTTGGAAGCACGTTTCAAGTAAGACTGAAATGATCCACTACTTCATGCAAATTCTCTGCCTCAGTAGATGTAACTGATCAATGGGCAAAAAAAAAAAAAAAAAAAAAAAAAAATGTCAGTAGAGCAGAATAGGGGACATACAGGAAAAGTTTCAAATAAACATGAATGAGTCCAGGATGCTTCACCTTACATGGCAAAGCAAAAACTGATTGAAATCCATACACAATCCACTTTACCATAATGTGGTGCAGCACAGGTTAACCACAGTTTGTTTAGTTTTCCTCCTACAAAATTACTGTCACTTCCAAATTTGGGCTTTTGCCAAATGCATCACCTATTAACTTGCGTGTTTAAAATTTTTACTACCGTCCATGCCATTTCAAGAGTCAAACACTGAAGCAGTTTAAGCTGGAATCTGTACCCTCTTACCTGGGACTTACTTCTGAATACACACACACAGGATTACAGTAAGTATATTAATAAATCAGGAAGTGTGATCAGGGATTTCACAGAAGCAAAAGCTTTAATAAAAAGGAAGTGAGTGTGCACATTTGTGCGAAATGCTACCTGCAGTCTATGTCAGTGAGCATTTACTCGAGTCATTTGGTTATCTTTTATTTAAGATCAAGGGCTGTTCACATCCCCCAATTCTTGATCTGTTTTCTGTAGGGTGTAGAATTCAGTGTCCTGAGAATTTTAGCTTCTTATTGGAAAGCATTTTTTAGCCCTTTAAATGCAAAGATAAACCTGAAAATGTCTTTGCTGCGTCTGCTGCTCCACAGGCAAAGAGGGCTGGGTAAGATTTCCATGAAAAGTTTCAGGGCTCTCACTAGAGCTTTACCAGCGTCTCCTAAACCTTTTATAACTGGGACGCAGTGCTAACTTTCCTCCCTGAATTAAAATTAGAGACATGTTTCACTTTTACATACCTATTTTTCTCTGTTTTTTTTTTTAAAATCACAAGCTGGCAGTCTCCTTGTAACTAAGGAACGAACTAATTAACATGTCCTGGCATTCTACTTTGTTCAGTCAGGAAGGGCACAGGGACAGAAGGGCTGTAGGCTCGGTGGTACAGCGCACACATTTGCATGCCGAGGGTTTTGGGTTCATGCCCCAGCACCTCCACCTAAGGCTGGAGAGCAACTACCAGTCATGGCTGACAATACTGGCAGCCCAGATGAACCAATACTGAATCTGGCTTGGTAAAAGGCAGCTTCCTCAGCTTGCCAGCAAGTGCACTGCTAGCCTGAATCTAGTGAATCTTTCCCTCAATCAGGTTATTTCTTACCATGTATTAGCAGAGAAAGGGAGTGGGATGGGAATCAAGGTTGTGTGGCTTTCTACCTGCCCAACAGACATTCAAGATAATGACTTACTTTTCAAGCAGTCCTGCAGCTCCAGCCCTGGCCCATTATTGGACCCCAATCCGTACTTTGGGAATTACTATTCTTACTGTACCCCTATGGCTTACAGAAACAATTTGTATAATTTGCATAATTAAGGTTAAACGATTTAGGTGTTTGCTGTGGGTTGTTTCAGAGTCTTGCTCTTCTCTTAGCATATTACTGACTGAGATCATCATAGAACAGGGAAAACTACTATGCCTGCTTTGTCTTCTGGAGTTTTGACCCTCTGATTAATTTGAATACTGTGCTGCTGTTGACCTCAAACCCATGCAGCAAGTCAGTAGTCTTTATACATTCCACATTATGGTTGCTAGGTCATCTCTCATTACAATATACTTTAGAAATAAAGGCAGCAATAACATAGTCCAGAGTGCTTTAAAAATGACACCCAAACTTGGATTTAAACAATAAAATACCAATGTGAGGATCAAAACAGTGCCTGGAATTATGCAGTAGGACCCTGTCGTATCAACTTGGGGCAATATTGCACAGGTGTAGGAACTGCTTTCACCCACATGCAACAACTTATTGCTACAATGCCCCCCACCCCCCACTTCTGTATATGTTCTAGAATATACATGTTTATACAAATAATATAGGAAGAAAATTGTAAAAGGCAATCTGGTGTCATTATTTGGACCATTAAAAAGTTCACAGCTTAATTTCAATTTTCCAAGAAATGAAATCTTTTTCCCTCTGGGCTGCAAGAGCTGGAAACTGCAGAACAGGAGATCCGGAATGGTGCTTGCACAGCAGATGGGTGTACATATTTTTTGCCAGCTTCTGTGTATAAGACATACAAGGTGAACTAAATTTTAGGCGGCATGGAAGATTTTTTTTTTTAAATAACCAAAACTGCCAGCTCAAACTTTTTCAATCTTGCACTCACTAGCTTCCCTTAAGGATTATGTGCTCTTTCTTGTGCAGAAAAATCATCCAGAATGAATGGAGGACCTGTTACCAGAGTCTGGTCTCTCACTGCTTGATATTTTTTTAAAAGCTGTACAGTAAGTCTTCTTTAATATAAAAACTTAGGCAGCTTTAAAGTAGCTGGCTCAGTCAATTCCACTGCAAGATGTAAGAGCAACTTACATGTTTCCAAAGATGAACACACCATGATGCAATGCTTTTCTTGAAAGCTTTATATTACAGGTTTTTTTAAAAAAGAGTTTCAACAACAAATGATGTCAGCTCTATTCTACTTCTTAAAAATGGAGTCCATTTTTCCAAATATCCATTGTAATTCTTAATAGGAAACTTCCATTAAGAAGAAAAAAGAAACGTGCTTTTCTCAAAAGAAATAAAGCCAACACAGCCTGATATGGAGTCCTCTAGCTCCTTTTACTTTGCTGGATGTCCCTTAAAGACAGGAAGGGCCTGTTAGCTGCATCCAGAGACACTGTTCATGGTTGCTATTGCTGAAGATAAGTAAACGATTCCAATTGCCTCTTGAAGTATTAGTCACTGCATTCTCCATATAAGGCGGACGATGTAATGCAACAGGCGCAAAATAATGATCTGATGGTTTACTGCTTGGTAATCCAAGAAACCCTGTAAGAGGAAACAAGAGATTATTTTAATTCATGAAATTTTCCTCTCTGGCAGTAATAATCACCAAATTTATAGGCCATCCCTAGGAATTGCTATGCTAGCACACAAGCACTTGGCACCCAAAGAAGAAATGGCAACAGCTACACCAGTGAAAAGCACAACATGGTACCAGTGTTATGCTAGCATATACAAGAAGCTTTAAAAGGATCGCTCCAAACTGGGAGGATGAGCATTCAAATGGAAAATGTGGTTCCATGTAAGCAAGTGCCAAGGAACACATGCTGGGACAAACAATTCCAACTTCAAGTGTAAGGTGACGAGATCTGGGATAGCAGTGACTGACCAAAAAGGTGACCTGGGGTTTTTGGAGACAGTCTAATGAAAATGTCAACCCAGTGTGCAGCAACTTTGAAAACAGCAAATTCCATGTCAGGCCTATATAGAAAGGAACCAAAAGTAGAACTGTCAAGATCAAAAGGGGGAAATTAGTGAGAATGGGTAACAACATCGGTCTACCTTTCAAGGTTCTTGTAAGGATAAGATAGTGTGTGCAGTGTGTTCCAAGCTCTTACTAGCTGCATTGATTGTAAGTAAGATAAAGGATCTGTTTGCATGTAGCAATAACTCAGTGACTTAAAAACCAGTGGGCTGTTGTGTCCAAGTGGGCAAGCTCCTTGCTGCATGTGTACTTCTCCTGCCTTGTACTCTGCAACCTGTTGATTGGCTCCTTCACAGGTTGGTGAACATGATGTCCAAACCCAGACCATTCATGCAGGGACTAAACAATCTAGCAGTTAATCCAACAACAAACCTCTCAGCAATCATGTTAATAGTACATAACATAAAGGAGCCATTCACACACCTCATCAACTCACTGGTTTTTAAACTGATGGGTTGTCCTTACATGCAAATCAGGTCAAATGTGCTTGATTCAGGGTACCTTACCTAAGCATTCAAGATTAAATAACAGTGTGTTCTGTTGTAACAGCAATGGGAGAACGTGGCGCTTGAGATGTTACTGGATCCCAAATCCCATCAGGCTGCAATCCAACAACAGCGGCTGAATCAAAGGTTCCCCCATCCTTTCTATAAGAAGCATTAGCAGACCCTTTAGCCTGATAAAAAGGTGGGGGTATAAACAGCAGCATTATGCCTCAATCCAGAACAAGACCTTCCAAGTAAACACATTTACAGACCAGTCAGTGCGTTAATGCCCTTTGTGATCACACAGAGTACATTCTATTCATATTCACTGACAGTTCTTGCATCAAGTTCCGCATACTGTGTGCAGTGATGTTCTTGCATTCCACCTTCTGGTCTAACCTACCTTGAAGAGGAATGCTCACGAAAAGTTCATGCCTCCCTCCACAACTAACCACATGCCCTGAGCTAGCTCAGTTTTCTATACACTGGTAACTAGAAGCAAATGCTTAGGCATCTTTAAAACTGGGTCTTGAGCAACTGTCACTATATTTAATCTTGTTCTCCAGTGCTTAATTCACTACCACTAAGTTTAATGTGAGGTTTGTTACAAGAAACAAATGGTATATAATTTATGAGATCTAGCAGTGCACGCAGAAAAGGAAAAAAGAAAGAGAAGCCAAAAACAGGATGGTATTCTTGGAGTATAATTGTGTCATTGTCTAAATTGTTGACTCCCAGAAATGTTAGAGATTCCCAAAGGATGAAATCTGGTAGCTATAATTTATCTAAGAAACCAGTGATTTGGTGTAGTTTGTGCCAAGAACCTAAATAAAGCTATAGGCAATCTGTGCCAGAGCTAATGAACTAGTGAACCTCTAAATTATTCTCAAGTGACTCCACCTGTGTAAATATCCACTGGTTCAGTTTGGATATAAATATATGCAAGCAGATATATTAGAAGAGATGCAGCCACGTAACACAAATATGGCCGGCACATATGGTGTCTCACATGCTGAAAGGAAACAAGCAGGCTAACCGGATGTAGTTCTTATGACAGTTATCTTTCTTTCTACTTTTATTTATAAAACATTGTTTTGGATAACTAAAGGGCACCTCACACATTATGTTTCTAAGGTATACAATATTTTACATGTGTACATCAGAAAATGACACAGGCTACAAACACATGCTTCTAACCGTATCCCTCATACAAGCACATATGAGATAACCTAATGTACTTATAGTGACATTAGGTTTCATGGGTTAGAGCACACTATATCTGATTCCACACTATATCAACTACACTTAAAGCACCACAACACTATTTTTCATGTTGATACTGGCATTTGTTTCAACTGGGAAATGCACCAAATGCATTAAACAAATGCACAGAGGAAAATACAACTTCTCTTGTAAACGATTACATGCCATGAGACACTTCCCTCAGTTTTCTAATGTAAGCCAAGATTTAGTTGCTTAGAAGGTAGCTGAGTTTCCAGAGACTAAGCAAGGGAAGCAGAGGAGCAGCAGCAGCCGACTCACCTAATGGGATTACGATAAGGCCATGGAACTTCCCCTCTAACTCAACATAACATGATGGGAGGAAATCAGTATTGTGGCCACAATTCCTGTAGAGGCACTCTAATAACAGTCTTCAATTTTTATCTTAGATGTAAGGGATTGTTCCAAAATTAGCCTTTCATAAATTTACTTTCAAAATAGTAAATGGTTTATTTTAGGTTGTAGGGAGGGAAGAATGAAAGTGTTCCCTTCCAAGACAAGCCTGACTTGAGTATCAAAGGCAGCAGAAAAAGACTGAATAAGATCAATAAGATATGATATCCCCTATTATTCATCATGAAGTCTTTTGGTTTGCCAAAAAAGATAGTAATGACACCAAAAACTTAAACAGAAATGCTTAATATTCTGCTCCCCTATTTTTGTCTGTCTGCTGCTGTTGCAAATAAAAGATTGAAATAACAACAAAGTAATCTTAATGATTAATCCAAGACCCACTTCAAACAAGAGGGACATTGTCTCTCTATGGTGTACAGCCTTCACACAAACCCCTTTCCAGCTCTGCACAGGTAACATACAGAGAAAAGAGTTACTGGCGTCCTGCACAGACACCAAATTCCTGTGATTGCCCTTCTCAAAAAGAAAGATTCATGCAAATTAATCACTCACACAGAGCACCTGCCGCACGCATACACCTGGCAAAGAAGAGGGAGCATGCTGTCACTTTAACTGTGAAAAATGTCACCTCCCCTCTACATGTGTGAACCAGGCCAAAACCACAAAGACACTATATCTGTAGGACAATACCTAACAAAATATAGCTACAACTTCCTGATTTGGAAGGAAAGAAGAGATTTGGATTTTCTTGTGGATTCTCTACAGTCCTTCCTTTGAACACTTAAGTCTGAAACCACAATATAAAGCAACCATCATGAAACAAAGCATGTTTGGTCAAAGCCTGGATGCATGTGAACCCCTTGTTTGCGTTCCTTGTAACCCATAGAAAGTAGAATATAAATATGACAGATACGTAACAGCACAAATATTCTTGGAATTTGCAGAAGGATGAGAGAACCAGACATATTGTCCCTGACATGCTTCAGCTTAATGTCTCAAATGCAGCTGGAAGGGCAACAACAGGAACATAAACACACCTGTGTAACTCTAATTCTATAAACACTTGCTAGCAGGAAGTTCCAATGAAGACACTGGGATGCACTCCTGAGCAAACATACACAATTCATTGTCCATGTGGAAAGCATAGTGGCTGTCAATGTACATTCTACTGAAGAGAATGCTAAATACTAACCCTTTATTTTTACAGCAGTAAAAGAGAGTACACGGAAAATACACAAATGACCCAAGGAGCAAAGTTGGGGTGAAGCGAAAAAAAACTACCATTCAAAATTTGGAAAGTAACTGGGGGGGGGGGGGAATGCACAGTACAAAACCGCTTCTAACACCCTTGTTAAACTGTGACTGACTGAGCAGTACTAATTATGGGCAATGAACAGGAAACCTCAGCAAATGCTTAATCATCCTAGATTATTCTTACTAGTCCAGCTTTTTTCAGCACTAATTTTAGGAGTGATGCATATGCAGCAATACTGATTTCCTAACCACAGTTAGCCAACCAGAAGCTAAGGGCTGAATTGCTCCCTTCAATGTTAATCATAACCCACGAACCTACAAAACTATGGGCCATCAATGCTGAAGTATCTGCTGAAAACGTTAAGTCCAGCAAGAGGGAACCAGAGCAGTGAAAGCAAGAACCATCTAACATATGTTGAACAACTTAGTAACACCTATTCGATTTGTTTATTTCATCAATTTATTATACTTATACTCTGCCCAGTAGCCAAACCTCTCTAAGGGAAGTAGTGCACTATTCCATTCTTCATAGCTTAAGTGATACGCAAACTCTTCCAAAAAGTTTTTTTTTAATCAGTGATAAGAATTGTATCAAGAACCACCAACTCAAACGCCTTCTGAAATCAGTTCATAAAATATTTGGAAGACTGATTCTCAGTAAAAACAAATGATACACAAATGGAGGTACACAGTCATTACGTGCAGCTGCAGACTTTTTGCAGAAGGGAAGTTCTAGAGAAAAAAATGAAACTTAAGACTTCGGAGGTGAAAAGAAATGAGTATAATCATCTCAGTCTAATCCCAAATAAAGTTTGCAAACAGGCTACACTGCAAAATCTAGCTTTATTAGAAATAGATGCCACTTTAGTGTACACAAAAAGAGAAGAAAGGAAAATAGTTGCTGAAAGATTTCAGAAGGTATGTTTGAGGGAAGGAGAGAGGGAGGGATTTCTTGTTAGGATCCTTCAAGAACTGTGATGAGTGGTTTATGGAAAGCTGGAATGGAGCCTGTAGCCATCCAGACAATGCAAAGTGGAAGCAAGACTGCCCCAATTCAGAAAATCAGCTTACAGGTTTTCCCTGAACATGGGCATGTCTGTAAAAGTAATAGTCTGTTAGCATTCATAAATCCTCCTTGTGTAGCCCAAAAGGTGGCTGTTCAAGGGCTCTGGACAACAAGAATGGGC